CGTATGTTAGGACTCAACTTCGAACTAGCGTGGCTGCACTGAGTAAAGATTCTTGGTGAAAACTGCACGAGTAAAGATTCTTAGTAAACAATGGTAAATCGTAATTAACCAAGCCCGGGGGAACGAAAGGGTCAACAGGCTGAAAAATAAAATAATCGGCATTAGTTTCAATGTGTGTGCACACTAAGCAAGAACTATGTGTATCATACTCTCCGCTAAGGGAAGAGTACTTGTAAAAGTTTTAACTCAATAAGTCGAACGCTGAATGAGCTTAAACTGGTCGTGGAATTACACCTTCCCGAAATTAGTGTGCACACTCTAGTACTATTGTGTAGTCAAAACTTCCCAATTTTTAACACTAATTATCAATGCACAATAATACAGAAATCAAAGTACTTTTAGTCTCAATGCGCTCTCAATGGGATGCGTTCCGAATGAACGCGGGAACACGAGCGATATATGCCCTAATAAATGTCAGAAAAATCCTTTCTATTTACAGGGTGTGCACTAATTAGGGTGTTAAATGTTAATTTCGATTCTCTGCTCACCTCAACTGGTATTGAAGAGAATACGCTCCCAACTTGATTCGAATAGATCATAAACTACTCAAAATCATTATAGAAATGGGTATGCTCACTACTTCTTATTATTGATAAAATATTGTTTGAATGACTATTAACCATAACGAATATCGGCGCTTCGTTGACATGGAGGCTATATCTTGCACGCAAAAGTGCTATTCCACGACAGATTGGTGAAAGCAATTTTCACCGAAATAACATTCAAACGGAATTAGTGTGACCCATCTATTGAAACTCTTAGGCCAATGAGTTTAGATGCGTAGCAAGTCAGACCACTCGCATGCGAAACTCGTCATCAGAATTCTGGACTTTCTTTTTGGACTTGAAGGGTTTATGGCCCATATTCACGTCTGATTTTACCATTGCTCGTGTGTACGAGTACAGACTAGTACTTCACGGTTGCTGGTATTAATCTATATCTCGCCATGATGTGAATACGGAGTGTTACCGCTGGCACCATTTGATTCGTCTTCGTCTTCCGCAGCCCGACTCTCAATTTGATTCGCATGGAACTGTAGATCGAGGCTTGGTCCGAGAACGAGAATAACTTCGATCTGCCTTACTTTCACCCATCACGCGGAGCTTTGGCAGTCTCTTTGCATGTCGTGGTTGTGACATTCAGCAATTCCGTTCTCGAGTCTAGAAAGAAAACAAAACAAATTCGGCACAACTCTTCGACTCTTCGTTCTTCGAAACAGTTCGGATCGACAAACGGCCGGCTGAATTCGACTGGACGACTTCTTGCTGATCGAGCATCGCACCTGCGCACAGCAGCGTAGCGTAACCGCTGTCCACGCACGATAACCGGGTCAAGATTCATCTCTCAGAAACGTGGTGCAACTCACTTGTCACACTCCTCTTAAGAAATGTTTCTGCATTCGATCGTCAGGTATCCGGTGCTTCTCGGGTCGTGCAGAAAGATTCCAGGAATTGCTGGGTCAGAGTCTCGTGGTTGGTTACTGGCATTTGCAGGGATTTTTTATGTTCGTTGAGTAGTTTAATGCCCTTCTGCCCATAGTACAATGTGCCCTCGGATTCTCTCCAGATTTTAGCGACGTTTCTTCATCCTCCAGACGAGCTGATGATTTCTAGACCTTCGAACAAATAATTTGTGTTCGGTGTGGTTCCCTCGTGTGCGCATCACATTCTCTAGAATTATCCCATCTCTACAACCATCACCGAGCGGCGGCGGAATGCCGATCAGAGCGACACAGGCGTCGAAAGGACCGAGTCCAGGGAAGAGACCTCCTTGACAAGGTAAAGAAGTCTCGAATTTTATATAATCTCAGAGCTGGCAGTAGAATTTGCAGCACAGCCGCATGGCTGTATCCTTATTAGATTCAGCATTCGAGGCCCAAGCCCAATCCTATAATTTCTCCAGATCCACCCAGAACCCACGTCCAGTAACAGGTCGATGCTCACGGCTCATGTACAGGAGGTTCAAGGCCGTGGCCGTGGCAACTACGGACAGCTCGATGCGTGATGCTGCCCGCAGCAGAATTTACCATGTGCTACTCGAATGTTCCTCCCTGATTTTTTCTTCTCGCTGCATGTGCATCTCCGTCAGACCCCTGAAGTTTAATGCTCTTCATTATATCTGACGTTTTTTATTCGGTTCATATTGTTTTTGGGCTAAGTTTGGTTCATCTTCCGTCCAGTCTTTTCTCATCCACTACTTGAACAAAGTTATTCACGCGGTAGGAAATCCTAAAAGAGTGAAAAAATATTTACATATCTTTCTTTTTGAGTAAAATGTTAAGTGATATTAATATTTGCTTCACAAATACACGCATTTTAAAATGTTCTTCAAATTTGAATTTGAAAAGTGTTATGAACAATGATACTTCTAAACTATGATTTTTGCTGCAAGGCTTGCACCATGAACTATAAAAAATCAAGATGGGTTGACACTTGCAATTTATGGTTATAAAATGGTTAATTTTTTACATTGTGTGTAAAAAATATAACAACTATACAAGTAAAAAATGTTTGATAGCCACGTGAAACTTTATGGTTATAATTCTACTCTCACCACTTGACAGTGTCAAGTGCCAGTCCCTGAGGAACGGTGTGTCGTCATTGAGTCGGAAGAATCAATCACGTGAAAAGTGGTGTGAGGTACATGTCTAACTCGGGTACCAACACAGCATCTTCCTCGTCACGATGTGGGCCAAAATCTCCTTGCAGGCTCTCGATCTTAGGGAACATATGAGTGACAATACTTGCTGTCACACAAGGCAATGGGTGTGGTCATTGTTGTCCTGACGCTTGCAGTCCAATGCCAATTTCTGACCTCAAATCTGGAAAATCAAGGAATGGATGTCCGTCCCCGTCGCTTCTTCGCTCTCTATCACCATTTCGTGTTATACCATTTCTATGAGAGTCGCAAGACCTTGCTTGTAACGCTTCTGGCTAGAACAACCCCGACCGTATGCTCTCCGGGATGACGGTATACGTACACCGTTCGTTTGGCACCGTCACCGTCACCCAGTGGGTTTCATCGTCACCGTCACCCGGGGTATCGCGATGCGCACCCAATACGACTCTGCCTGCCTTCTCGTCTAGCATTTCTTGTGACGCACTTTCGGATTGACGATAGCGGATAAGGCGACCTCGGAGGTGGCGATTTGTCGAATGATTTCTTCATTCTTCTGCATTATGAGTTACGATTGTCAGGAGAGTTGCGTTTGTATGGACCAGGGTTTTTACTGTCGTCGCGGCTTTGAGAGAACTGGCGGGTTTCGAATTTTCTTTGGTTTCCTTCTTTCTCCTAGTGCTTTCTAGTCCCGACCCTGTCATAAAACGTGTATGTTTCCCATTATCCACCTCCTCAAATCCGTGCCCATGTCTACATCAAATCAGTGTCGATGAATTGCTGCAGTAAGTGGTGATGGGTGACTTCCTGCAAGTTACTGAAGTGGGCAGTTCCGAAGAAGAAGTTTCCTCGAAGTGCCATGGTGGAAACAGAAAACCTTTCTCGAATCTTCATCACAGTTTTGTGTTTTGACTTTCTGGGAGTCCATGGCAGACTCGATGATTTTGTTAAATTTGCGAAGCTGAAATGAAAGAACCTGAATTAAGAAAGAGCATGCTGAGTACTCAGATTTCAGACTCTTCACCAGTTTAAACCCCACCACATCATCAATCTTGCGACCAGAAACAGGTCTGCTGCCATTCTGCCAATTCTGCACCACCTTGCCTGGCACGCCGATTCCAAGGAATTGCCTAGGTTCAGCGAGCTAAATGTCTCAAAATGTACTAAGATATACTTTCCCCTACTTGATCTCAGCGTGGGCATATGTAAGAACTTATGGAACTATACTACTGCAGCCTCGAGATCGATCCTTTTTTAATAAACAGTTCTTTTAAGTTTTTCAACTCCCACAGTGAATCGTATTAAGCTATTCTGTCATTGAGAACAAGATCCGGACTTGTACGCGAACTGTGTTGACTCATGAATCTTTCTACTCAGAAGCTCTAATTTCCTTGTTTGGTTTCGTTGGATGGATGCTCTAATGAAGGAGCGTTCCGAAAATCTTAACAAGCCGCTTCTGTGTCCCGCACACGGAATTCTTTAGTAAAAGGCGAAAGATAGTTCGCTCTGGACAGAACTTCGGCTGGTATTCTCATCAGCCGAAGATCCAAGAGTATGAACCCCGCAGAAGACTCTTGTGGCGCGCACATTGTTCCATGCGCCGACACGTGTCCATGTGTAGGATTTGAATTCCAGAGTGTCGCGTCAAGACCCATATGCCGTCGGCCCACAGTCATACGGTCGGGGTTGTTCTAGCCTGCAGTCTTGTAACCTTTTCCAAACATGTTCCACCTTGTTAGAATCTAAGGGCTAAACCACACGACCGGCAGCGAATCCTCTGTTATTGGCAGCTTCCCCCTTTACCACACGGGAGGGAGCGCAATTTGATATATCCTAGGTGGCAAAGAATTCGACTTCTGCAAACTACCAGACATTTCCGCCTCGATTCCCGTTTTTCTGGAATATATCGACTCCACGTGTACTTTCTGGGTTACTCTTTCAAAGACGTCTCACCGCTGCGTTGCAATTAGTAGAGATATTTTTCCCTTTTCACTCCAAAGGCACTGCCGGTAGTGTGGTAGAGGTTATGGAATTCTCTCCAGCTGGCCAACTTAGGCCTACGAAAACCGGGTTTTCTTATAGCAGGAGCTTGGTGCCGGCTGCCGGTAGTGTGGTAACGCCCTAAATCTAGCATGCTCCTACTCCCATCACAAGTTGACATTTGTCCATCAGTAGTTTGACGGGACGCCTCAGGCCCACCCCTCCTGTCCTGAGTCCTGACTCGATTCCTAGTCAGCATTCAACAACATAAAAAGCGAAAAGTGTCTGCTGTAACGTCCACAGCACACAATACAACACGCAATGACGCAGTCGACTCAGCTAGACGATAAGAGGGAGCTTTCAGATGAAGATTGAAGACACAATTCATTTCTACCGAACGCTCAGAGCGATGTCCGATCTGAACCGAATGGTTTACATTTGGCCTACCATCTTCACCGAAAGATTGCATTCGCCTTTGTCGATATCTCCTCACATTACACAGTGAGTGCATCTGCGTTACAAATGGTGGACTATCCTGTGCTATATTAAGCCGGACACGTCTCCAGATGAGGAGTGCAATTGCATGTCCTTTTCCTATCTTTGTACAAAGACGCTTGTCATTCAGTAAGCTGCCTCTGGCTTGCGTGCGTGTGCTCTATATAACGAATATCATGTCTAAAACAGTGCCAATTCGTACCCTGCTCTGGTGTATTCGAATTCTACGCCAGCTAATTTGATTAATTACGTCTAGATTGTCGAAACTTAAATTTCTGTGATCTAATGCTTGTAAAAGGCGTACATCAAACTGACAAAGTTCATACTCTGATTGCTGACTCGAGGGCTTGACGTCGCTATCATCCAAGAGGTGAAAGTAGAGAACTTCAGCCGTAAAATTCGAATTCGAATCACCAATTCATCCCCGGTCTCGACATGAATGCCTTGATTCGTCGATCGGGAGTTGTCTTCTCGATAGTAGCATGGAAACTGGGTTCAAACTATTCTCACACCGGTGGAATCAAAGATGGAAATCACTGCCCTTCGGAAGAGAAACATAATCTTGAGAGCCAACGCAGTCCGGTCTCAAATGCCGGTCCATCCAGACGCTGGCATCGTACAGCATCGAATCAGAGAGGGCATGCTCGACTCCCTCCTCTGCCTTGAACTTGAAATTCTCGGGAACACCTGCACTTTTGTAAACCTCGGAAGCGATGGACAGAGTGGTCTCCAGGCCACGAACAGGGCAGCGTTTGTCCTCCTGGCCGTTCAGGATCAACAAGGGCCGGGGAGCGATGGCGGGAATGGTGTGCTCGGCGTCGAATCGGTCGATCAAACCGGGAGCGATGCGCCTCCAAACGGACGCCACGATCTCGGCGTCCACGGCGCTCTTGCCCAAATCGACCATGGCGGCTTCGAAAACATGAGGAATGCTCTGCACCCGCGCGTGCCACATATCGTTGATCACGGCCCACCCGAAGCACTGCACGGCGATGATGGGCACCACCACGGAAATCCTCGGATCCGCCACGGCCGCGTACCAGCAGTGCATGCCGCCCAGCGAAATGCCGAGCATGCCGATGCGCGCAGGGTCGACGTCCGCCCTCGTGTGCAAATAGTCCACGAGCTTGCGCAGATCCCACACCGTGTCGAAGATGAAGGGCATCTCGTCGCCCGTCGCCCAGGCCCGAATCAGCGCTTCCCGGTAGGCCTCGCCGCAGGCCGCCCGCTCTCCGTGGTACCGCGAGTCGATTGCTACCGCCACGTACCCGCGCGCCGCGAAGCGTTCCATACACGGGCGCATGGCGTCCTTGCTCTTGCCCGTGCAGTGCAAGAATATAACGGCCGGCCGTTGTTTGGCCGCGCCCGCGTCCGTGTCCGCGTCCGGCTCATCGTCGTCCGCGGGCTTGATCACGAGCACTGGGACGCGGCCCTGGTCGCAATCCTCCGTCAGCAATGTGAGCTTCTCTTCTTGGAGGTCCGGCGCGAGCTCGAGGTTATGGCGCCGGTAGCGGAACTTCGATTGTCTGCCGCAGACGGTCCATGGCGGATCGAGCTTCTTGCGCTTGCTCTCGAGCACCTGAAGGATGTCGTTGCGCACCTTCTCGCCCGCGTGGTTCACCCATTCGCCTCCCATCGCTCCGGCCACCAGTAGTAGCTCGATCGATGCCTCGCGCACGAGTTCTCGGAGCTCTCGTGCGTGCAGCAGCTCGAACGCGGACGCCTTGAGATGTCCGGTGAGTCCCAGATCATAACTGACTGCGCAGAGTAGTGGTGAAAGGTCTTCGTCCCTCCTGCGTCCGCGGCCAGAGGTCTTGCACGTGCTCTCGGTCCACAATTTCGATGCTGACACTCCGTCGCCAAATCCGCAGGCGCAATCCGGACCTATGTACTACTCCTCCTCTAGCAATATTTAAAAGCACTGAATATGTGGAAGAAAGAGCAGACGGCGGGGGCTGATTTGGATTCGAAGGCGACAGACAGACAGGTAGATGTGGATTGCGACGGGGAGGGACGGTGGGAGCTTCAGCAAGCTGGGTATGGAGACCGAGGTCTTATGTAGGCACAAAGGGGCGTATGGGACTTTCTGTAGGTGGTGTTCGCACCTCCTTGTGCTTCTCCTCCTCCAGCTCCAAGTCCTATCTTCTGTACCGTGCCATATCTCGTGCGTGCGGGCAGCCGGGGTTTTCTGGCTGCTGGGGGGCCTGTATCTGGGAGTTGTCGTGTAAATGGAAACTCCTTTCGCTTCTTCCGATAGGTACGAGTCCGTCCGACCTCCTTCAGAGAGCGCGAAGCTGGAGGCTCGAAGAGCACGAATAACACTGCCTTAGTAAATCTTGGCTTTTAGAAGTTCAGAGACCCGAACTCTTGCATGGGCTCAGATACCATGAACCTAATAGATTGATACGCTAAGCATATATTTTTCAAAATGCATACCACAATATCAGGGACAGACAGGAAAACCTTCCAGTTCAATCAAGAGCCCGGCGGACAAGATGCTCTGATACACCTTATACGCTGATGCAGACATCATTTAGCGTTACAATCATCTCCAAGCCGATTGGTAGGTCACGTTCCGTCCCAGGGTTCTCATCCCATATTTAAAAACCCTCTTGCACGGCATGGACCTGAAATTCTGCAGAGAAAGTCGCGGGCTCGCTGTGCGGGCGTAGGATGCAAAAGCGAGAGTAAGAGCAAGATTCCAAGAATCTATGGAGAACTTTCGCAGCTTCTGCTCTACCACTTACAGCCGAGCGTTGGAGAACTGTTACAATTGAAGTGGGACAAATACGAAAGAAGACAAGAGGCGAAGGCGCAAGACTAGATAAGAGTACCTCCTCAGAAAGCAACGCAAATGCAGTCTATGTGCTGGAGCTCGTGAGGGATGAAATTTCTGTGCACAGACATACTCTTCCGACAAAATTACCATTCGATACGCCATCTTTCAACATACATCACAAAACCCAGCTCGTTTGTACCCATGTGAGCTTTGAAGGGTCTCAAGAACTCGTAATCTGCAGAAAATCAACTCTAAACCCTACGGCTACAAACCAGCGTTTTCATTATCGTGCAGACAATACGACACCTCTAGACCATGATGTGAGAAGCTAGATGGCAAAACATTCTGCCGCACATGGCGGTGCAGGTGTCACGAAAGGCTCGGGGAATCTCCTGCCTGGAGACGGTGGGACGTACGAGCGGTGCGTGTGGAATGCATGGCTCACGATATCTCTGCCTACACCACTTGTGGAACAGGCATCTTATTCTAAGCAAAATATTGTCTTGACTGGGCAGGGTGACAAAATTTCCTCACAAGACATATGTCGTGAAAATCGATAGAATATCGATCACAATTCTCAACCTCGTCCATTGATGCTCCATAGGCTCGCCACTTATTCAAGCCAGAGAGATATTCAATCTCTGGCTCTTATCACTGATGTAATACATTTTTTATTATATGCACAGCTTCGTGCTTCTTTGTAGTCAGATACAAGAACTAGAATTATGATCCCCTTATTCCCTTTTGAGACACGGATTGTTTCGCCCAATAAAAGAAAAACACGAGCGGAGGGCAATTCGAGGAGTGTGCATTTGAGAAAGATTGTCTCTCTACATACGACGCATACGACAATATGTATTACGTCTCCTGAACCTGATGGCAGCATAATCTTTTTTATTCCAACCAAAAGTATATATTTTTGCATACCACGATAACCGCGGAGACGAATATATGAAAGACTGCTTTATCCTTCGACATATGGACCTTGAATGTCCCTGGACGTATACCAAGAATGGACCTTCCACAAGTTAAAGTTGTGAATCACTACTTCTAGTTACGGAGATTTCTAAAGGTAAAGTTAATTATGGTATCAGAAGATTTTTTTTTATTTGAAAGGAACCATGAGGTAAAAATTATTTGATGTTGAGATATTACATTTGTGGGGCCAGAACAATATTGCCTTCCTGATAACACCACCCCACCTCCCGACACTGTCACAGAAAAGTAAACATGGCCCTTCAAACGAAATGAGTATTCGACCTTCTTTCAGTGATGTGGGCATTCTGTGTCTGCCACATCAGGTTGTCGAACTGATGTGTCAAGCGTCGAAGACGCGCCGAACTGTACACAGCGTAGCATATCTACAGATAAGCAGGTGGTAACATGTGACTATCCAAACCTGTAAATGGTGGCAGTCTTCATGCTGATGTATGCTCGCCATCTCAGGCAATCGGGTGCTCCACCTAAGATCTTGGAACTTAGGTGTCACACTGTGAACATCTCGGGGAGGAAAAGCTGTGCACTCTCTTGAGGCTCGGCCACGGCGGCATTTGTCGTCTGCTCCTCCTCCTGTCGGCAAAGGGGCGTCACAAAGGTCAAATCGGATACTGTCCACGGACACGCAACGTGTTATATTGTCGTCAAGGCTTTCGTCGGTGAAGGAACGATCTTACATCGAGCTCTGGATGACTGTGAGGAATGGAGTTTGACCTGTCGATAGTGTTCTGAATTTTCCTTGCCTTTCTTCGACTTCTTCTATTTCGTTACCGTCACGGTGGGGATTGGTGATACACTTGTTTCGTGTTATATCAGGGAATGATTGGGCTGCTCAAAGCATGAACGTCCCCTCCGACGATGATTGGAATCCTCTGATGGTGAGGGGGTTTATAGAAGGCTTTCATCGATGAAGCCAACAGAGATTCCCTTGAAGCCTCCGGGCACTCGCTTTCGTGGATTGGGGGCCTATTCCTGACCTGCATCAACATGCAAGTCGTGGAAGCAATTCGAGAACGCTACTGGCAGAGGTGGGACTGCAAACATAAGAAAAAATTTGATCTTTTTTTCTTAATAGATTGCATGCTTGAAAGCAGGAAGTCCCTGCTCCGTCGTCAGCTTCATACTTGAATCGCAGTCAAACATGGCTCTTACCAGAACAATAGCTCCCCCTTGATAAAAGAATCAGGAAGGTCATAGCTTTGGAGGCGGGGACTAGGGCTCCTTCTGCTACTCAAGCACGCGTTCTTTTAGTGAAGGTGCGTAGAGAAGAAGTCAGGGCGAGCTCCGAGCTCAGTTCTAACAAGGAAGCGCTTGTGCTGGAAAAGTGCGGACTACGAAGGACACACAAACGTGGGGAGTTGGAGTGGGGAGATTCAGATTGTTTCATTCACACGTATAAAGGACAAACAATGCTGAATATCCGTGACGTCCATAAGGTGAAGGTGATCTCGGAGTAGCTTCGTCTGATCTGAGGTCTTTCGAGTCCGCAAAGGTTGCTCGAGGAGATGATACCACGTGTAGCCAATCGCAGCAGGCAGATAACGTAGGCTCGTCTAAGTACACAACTGGGAGACGTAAGTAAACAACCGTCCAGGTATCCAACGTCAACAAACTCTGAAAGTCAGGCCAACCAAAGAAGACCATGCTTTCTGGTAAGTGGATCTGTAGGCTGTACTGCTAGTACATTGTCGGCTGAGAAACATATTAGCGTGAATATGCTCTCCCATCGCCAAAATTATCCCAGCTGCCGTGAACATTCTCCATTGTAAAGTTCACTTGGAGAACATGAGAAAAGATATCTAATGGGGTTCGTACTCCGAACTCCACATGCATGTTCACATATTTCTCGATGCACCACTGTTGTTTCTGTAGGAAGATCACGTTGACGTATCCTTGGCTTCTTGAATATCCGACAAACTAAAGGAGTGTGCGATCCATGAGACAGCAGTCTCATGAACGACGCAGAAATCACCAAACAGATTCGACCACGGGGGAAAGATGCCGTGTTCATTCCAAGTCCCTATCCTATCGTCAAAACCAACGGCAGACCAAATGAATATACATAAATGAAGTCACTGCATTGATGTAATTATGTGTGTACTGAGGGGCCTTCTGGTCACTTGCACAAAAGTAACGAGTGAATGAGTCACTTTTCTATGTGGTCAGCCCCTCAATCATGTACAGTCTGTTATCTCTTTTCAAGCACTTGCGATGCTCATAAAGGTGAATTCTTTGTTGACACAAGGTTGACGCTATGGCGTTGACAAATGTAGTGGATGTACAATATTTTATATAAAGTTGAACCACAATCGGTTTATATTTATTTTCATCAGCTGGAAATCTTTCTATTTATAGTGATAGAAATATTCAATCGCACAGGATTTGAGGTGAGGTTAGCATGAGGTGAAAATGTCCTATGCTCCAACGTGTCATTTTGGCTTTATAACTTCTTCTTTTTTGTTTTTTCCCTGTCAGATTCCATGTATAAGGCCTCGGCCCCTGCCGTAGCATTGTAGAGAATCCTAGATTCATTGAGGTGAGACTAGATGCTATGGATGAAACCCAGATGAATTCTCAACTTCAAGATTAGAGATCAGCTTGCAAAACTTGGATATAACAATTGCTCCATCTATATTATATTACAAGACAGTTATAAGATGCTTGTATGCAGCAATAGAATCATGTGCACTTGTTATGACTCAAGTTTAACACATACTATTAAATCTAAAGGTTTGTGAGTAAAGTGTCAAAGAAGAAGAGTAGTTTACTCAATTATTCATATATGGTGTATCTTTAGAAAACAATGCATGGTTTTAAGACTGCAAACTTGACTTGACTTTAGTCTATTTGGAAACTAAACAAGTAAGATACACATGTCAATATTGTTTAATATAACGTGAAACGTGACATGTTTACATCGTTATTCAAAAATAGGGAGAGGTTGTAATAAACCGTCTTAGTTTTTATTACTTGCTTTGTTTTGTTGACAAGAAACATAACTTCAAACATAAGCCAAGGCTTATGTTGTTACGTCCTCCCATAGTTTGAGCCAAGAGTAAACTCGTTGGATGTTGTCCAAGGTCTTCTCCACTTCCGCATGATCTGCAATGGTTGTATTATGTGAATTCTGATAAAATCATTGTGTGTAATTCTTGATCTTGCGGAATTCATATACGTTATTTGTAGAACGCCAAACCTCTAGCCTTCTCTAATACTCCAGCTTGTAATGCCCTCATGATCTCTTCATACTATTTTGTGGCATGTATCATCTTACTCCACTAATCTACTTGAATCTTCACATCTCCAATATGATCAAACAAAGCATGCATGTGAGAGCATTCGCAAATTCTTTCTTGTCTTCCATATACACAATCTTCTTATTGA